TATTTATATTATTGTATATATATATACAATAATATAAATATAAATACTTACTAATTAAATTTTGCAGTAATTAATATTAAAATGATATAAGTGCTAGTACCAGTTTTTTAACCAAATTTTGCAATGGCGAAATTGCAGCTCAGAATGGCTACTGTTGCTTCATTAAATATTAATGATGCATCGATAAATTATGGAAAACCAAATGGTCTTCATTGGATTACCGCTTCATTATTCCTTATCGCTGATATGGCTGGTGCTGGTATTGTTGCATTTCCGGCAGCAATGATTCGATCCGGTAAAGTATTTTTTTTTAGCTCTAATTTTAACAAAATTAAATCAATATAATAACAAAGTTATTACTCAAAGGATTCATGATTAATGATTGATGAAGTTTATCTCTAATATAATATCCTGATATAAATAAATTAATTAATCTCTTATGCAATATCCTGATATAAATAAATTAATTAATGAGCTAAAAATTTCATTTACTTCGAAAAGCATTCCTAACTTTGAAATGACAATTATTTTTAAAATCATTAACAAGAAAGCTGGATATTATTGTTATTATTATTACTATAACAAGAGATTTGTTAAGAAAATTTTTTTCATAACCTATTTTAACAGCACATTTTTCTTTCTCATTGGAAAAATGGGTATTATTTCTTAGTTTATCATTTTATTGTGATAGCTACTGCAATATTACCTTTCTTATAAAAAGCTTTTTTACATTCGACTTCTCATATTTTATTAGCTATCAATTTAAAAATTTGTCATTGAAACTTCAATTATCAATTTTTAATGAAAGTATAAACTTTGCAAAATATCAGTTACGCATTGCTGATAAGTTAATTATTCGTAGAATAATCTGTTTTCTTTGCTATACATACACGGTGATTTTCATATTGCGTTCTCGTATATCACTTAACATCTTAATATTATTGTGATGATTGCTGTCTCTAAGAATCATCTTACTGCTAGTGATTTTTGAAGGTGAAACCGTCTTTTATTCATTACAAAGAGAAAAAAGATAAGAGTAGCTGTTAGAGAATAAAGGTCAAGCAACAAAGGTCATTGAATGGAATTTAGTTCTCAAACATTTGGTTATTCGAACAATGAAATACGAAATAGTAAAACAGCTATAAAACAATTTTGACCTCAAACATTATTTCTTTCATCATTCAACTTTTATAGCATTAGACGATATATTTTAATGGAATAATGATGGCACAATACGAGAAGTTTTTGAGTTACACAAAAATAGCTTTAAATATTAATTTTAGGAGAAGAGGAAAGTACCTATAAATCTGAAAATAACTCTCAGTCAACTCTCAAATTCTAACAAATAAAATACAGAAGTACTAAAATAATTTCAAAGAAGTGATAAAAATTTATAAGTATTTAGTGAAATATAGAAATTCAATTTATAAAACTTTCAAACGTTTTATAATTTTTGCACATTTCATTTTTTATAAGTTTCATTTTCTTCAAAAGTTTTCAAAAAACTTTTTTCAAAAATTATTTTTTCAAAAAAGTTTTTCGAAACTTCTTTTGTTTTATTATTTTCATTTCCGTCATACTTTCACTGGTAACAACTCTCCTATAATTATTCCCCTTATTTTCGAATTATTATCGTTAATTATTTTGTTGGAGGGAAGAAGGAAGATTTATTACTGAAAGTAACCTAAAAATATTTTACAAACATTAAAGTGCTAAAATCTTTGATAGCTTATTTAGCCAATGTTAGGAATTTTTTACCTTTTGATAGATAATCGACTTTCATTTTCAACTTTTCGTTATTATTTCTTTGGATGTACCACATGTCTTTGTGATAATAAGAAAATTAATAAAACTATTGGTTATATTTAATAATTAATAAAATTAAAAAAATTTCTGGAAGGTATCAATTGATTATATTATAAGAGTTACTAAAAAATAAAATTACCCAAATGTTTTTCGTGAGAAAATAATAAAAGAGAGGAAGAGCAGATTAAGAAATGGCTACTCAAGGTCACTTTAGAATCTAAGATTGGTCACTTTAGAATTCAAGATTATTGTGTAAGTGTAATCGAGTGTTTTTTTGTAGTATTATTCTTAGATAATTGCATCGATGAGTAGAAATGAAAGATCTCAAACACAATGATACTCAATTGGGATAGTCACATCAAAATATTCAATTGAGCAAAATGCAATAAGAATACTGATAAATGAATATTTTGAATGAGGTTCGATAAATGAAATCATTCTATTTGCTCATATGACTCTTGAACTTTATATTTATTTAGGCTCATATAATCTTCCGGGAACAATTTTTGCTACGAGCAACTGTTACACTAATCATCTCATAAACTCTTTTATCACTATCATAATTATATTGTTTGTACAATTTCTCATATTATTAGAGTTCATGAAATTTCCTGGATTATCTTTAAAAAAAGTGCTAAAATTTCGATGTTGAGGCAAAATTCAATTTATAAAGATCGTACTAAGCCTGGCAATTTGCTAATAGATTATTCTTAAACAATATTAAGCCACCCTCCAATATAAGAATTCATTATTAAAATAATATTTCATTTTTTTCCCACATTAGTTTTATTAATTACCAAATAATTTTTTACTAATTATTTACTAATTCTATTGTTTGTTAAAAATAACATTTTGAGTATTTTTAGTAATTACTAAATTTGATTAAAATTATTATAATTTGTGAATGAATAATTTAATAATCACTTTGTCTACGTAGTTGAAGTCTACAAGAATAATAATTTATAATAATTACTGATTAAATAGTTTTATAAATCATTGTATAAACATTGTATAAAATCATTGCATAAAAATTATTATAATTTAGAAATTATAATAATTAAAAGGTTAATTGTAAGTATTTCGATTTATATACATATTATGATGATTTTAGGTAGTTTTAGCGGTATAATTATTTTATTATCACTAGCAACTTCATTTTGCTATACCGCATGTATACTTTCCAATAATTGGATTATTATGTGCAATCGTTGGACTATTTATGCTAAACATTGCCGGAAACCGTATCCAGAAATGGCATATCGTGCAATGGGTGCAACCGCACGGTTTATATCTTATTTTGTTTCCTTTTGTTTCTATTTTCTTTTTTATTAATTAAAATTAATAAGGAAAATTTTGTTTTTTTAATTTTGTTAATTTTTTAATTAATAGAAATATTTAAGTATGCTTAAGAATATTTTATGTATGTTTCTTTCAGCAGATAAAAAAACTTTTAATAATTGTTTTATAAAAGAAAAAATTTTCTTAATTTCAGGTCAATTTGCTCATTCATTCTTAATACTATCCTTTTTGGTGTTGCTGTTGTTTTTTGCCTATTATCAGCATATATTATCAATGATTTTATCATTTCTATTAGTAATTATAATATCGGATTTTGCTATGTTTTATTATTTGTTGTATTAGCCATTTATCCAGTAACATTACTACGTTCACCACAAGATTTTTGGTAAGTAATATCAAACTTTACTTAATTATTCCTTTTTTTTGTGACAAAAAAAGAAATTAAAAAAATGAATTTTGAAAATTTTCAATTTTTTTCTAAAATTTATTTTAAACAAAACTATTGAAAATTAACAATAATATTTACACGAAATAATTGATGAATAAACTATAAAACAAATGTATAGCATTAAAAGAATATAAACGATTGACTGATAAAATTAATTATTGGTGATGTATGATTAATCTTTTAATCATACTTGTTAAATGATAATTTTGAACAGATAAATTTAAAATTTCATTTATTAATAAATCTTATTGGCTATCCAAAATCTATCGTACACAATTAGTGAAAAGGTAGAATTTTCAATTAATTTATTTAATTATTTAATTAATATCGTAATTTTCATAGGTGGGCAGTTGTATTAGCTATGCTAACAACACTAGTTTCCATAATACTTATTCTAATTGGTTCATGGTTGGATTATGGTAAATGTGATAATACTGTATTCGATCCAAAGCCTACAATTCATTTTGATGGTATTATCGCATCATTGGGCACATATATGTTTGGCTTTGGTGGACATATCATATTTCCAAGTGTGCAACACGATATGAAATATCCCAAACAATTTATTCGCTCTGCAATTCTTGCTTTTGCAAGTTTGTTTCTAATAGCAATTTTTTTCTCTATTTCATAAATTTAAATTTAAAAATTTGAATAATAAAAGATAAACAAATATTTTTCATCGTAAAATAAATAAAATAAAAAGTATTTTGATAAATCCATTTTATTCTTTTTCTCTTAAGAAAATGTTTTTCAAACAAATCAAATTCGATCATACGGTAATCTTTTGTTTCAAAATTAATTATAATATTTTTTGAACAAAAAAAATTTTCAACCTCTTTTTCATATATTTTTGCATGCAATAAATTTTTCATTTCACATTTTTCTAAATAAATCAAATTTTCTTCAAAAAATAATATTCTTAAATTTAATATCATTATTAATAAGTATAATAATAATGATAATAGAATTAAGGATTAATTAGTTAAATAAAAGAAAAATAGCTTTACAAAAATTATTCTTTAAAAAAAAGAAGATAAAATAGGATAAAGCAATAAACTAATGAGTGTTATGATGTTTATTGAAATAATCATTTTCTGTTCTTTTAAAATATTCAAATTCTTGCAAAAATGGTAATTAATCATTGGTTATAATTATATAATTTATAGACAATGAATGGATAAGCATTAGTTGTAAGCATTAGATTGAATTAAATTAAATTCATTTAAACACTTTTTGTCCATTTAATAAATCCATTCCATCCAATACTTAATACGTAAACAACATATTAATAAGTATTAATTATAGTAGTGACAGCAGTATATTTGCCAATATCAATACTTGGTTATGCAACGTATGGTAATTCACTCCATGATTCTGTTATCGATTCCATACAGGTAACATGCAATTCAAATTTTTGATTGATATAAATTTTTCCAAAAAGTTGTACTTTCATTTGATGATAATTTCAGAATTTATTTTAAATTCTAAGATATGCAACTTAAATTGAAAGTTGAAATAAAATTTGCGGTATTTTAATTTGAAACAACTCCCAGCAACTTAATTATTCAAATTATTTCCCAATTTGATAATTGAAGTTGATAATTCTATTGCGATCGAAAAATGGTTATGAAATTATATCAATTAATATTTAATGATATTTAAAATTGATCATATAAACACAAACTGCTCATTTCATCTTTCCAAAACGCTATTCATTATAATTATTTTTAGACTGGTTGGATTCGACAATGTGCTAATTTATTAATTGGAATGCATTGCATATTAACATTGACCGTAGTGATAAATCCATTGAATCAAGAAGCGGAAAGTTTTGTGAAAGCTCCTCATCGTAGGTTTTTCGCTTTCTTTTCTCTTCTTCTCTCTCTCTTTCTTTTTAATTTATGAAATTGAATTTTGCTAAAAGATAAATTAATTATGATTCTGTACATCTACCACAATTGTTTGTCGTTTCATTTCGATTAGGTCGTTATCATTATCACAATTATCGTTTTTAATTTTAGTTAGTTAATTATCATAATCGCCATCGTTTAATTTCGATTAGATAATATGTTGATTTATACTGTTTACATATCATATATAGGTTTAATTTATTGTCATTATCATTTTGATATTTAACTTAATCATAATGACGATAAAATTGATTACATGCAATTACAATGGATACAAATATTGATCATTACTTTTTCTTTGTTCATAAATTTTTTAATAACAATAATTTTTATAATCATTATGATTGTCTTCATAGAGCTATAATTTTTATAATTTTTAATAATTATTCATAATTTTTATCATTTTTATCAATTATAGATTTTGGTTGGCATCGTGTTATCATTCGTACTCTTGTTATTTTGGCAATTTTATTTGCTGCAGAAACAGTACCTAAATTTGGACCAATTCTAAATCTAATTGGTGGTAGTACAGTAGCGCTAACATCAGCAATGTTACCACTTCTTTACAATAATTATCTGAATGCATCTTTACATGATCCAATTACCAACACGTATAAACGACCAACATTCATACAGTATCAATTATTTTCCTTCTTTTTTTGTTTTTATTTGTTTTTCCAAATTTTTAAAATAACATTTAGAAAAAACAGAAAAATTGGTTCCATTAAAGATTTATTGTTAAATTCAAATTTTTGATAATTTTATTTTGGGACAATAACGCGAATATTAATTTAATTATATTCATTTCTTTTTGTTTTCAAAACTTTAAAAATTTCACATAGATTAATTATCATTATTATTATTACAATTATTATTATTACTATGTTGTTACTATTTGAAATTTCAATTTTTCAGAGTACTTCAACGAAATTCAAAAAACAAATTATTGCTTGATTTTATTATTATCGGTAAGCATAATATAAAGTTACTTTATATTTAGTATGAATTTTTTCAATTTATAAAATGATAAATGAGGAAATTCAGAATTAGCAAGAAAGTTGAAGTTAAACGTTTTTGTTTTTGGTTGTGATAAATTGCAAACTAATCAAAAATTAATTAATAAAATTCTTCATTTTTTCTTATTTTTAAATTTTTTATCATATTACATATCCTTTTTATGTTTTCTTTTTAAAAAAAAAGTTAATTAATTTTTAGTGTTTTTTATCAAATAATGAATAATTTAAACATAAAATTCTATTTATAATTGTAATTCCAATTAAGAAATGATAAAAATTTAATCGATTACTTTTTCTTAACAATTTAATAATTTCTCTTTTTAGAACCAATAATCATTATCATGTTATTATGATATTTTAAATTGATAATAATAATGCTAATACATTTTGCTGTTAATTATTTTGAAATGATTACAGTGATAACGATGTTCTTCAGTATGGCTACAACATATACTGCAATAATTGATATTGCATCAACCGATTTTACTATGCCTTGCTATTTATCATTTCTAGAAAGTGTTCCACGAAATACATCGGTTGAAATATTGTCGCAGCAATCAGCAATTTGTAGTGGAACATAAAATTTTACTGCGAACTATCAGTTTGAACTTTATTTTTTCTTTACGATGATTTGCAAATAATTATGCTTCCAATTCAAAAGTTTAAAAGAAATGAAAAATGAATGAGAAAATTATTTATTAAATATTTGCACGAATAAATGAATATTATGTTAATTAAAAATAAATGAAATTATAATAGAAAATTTATAATAAAAAAATAATTTATTATATAAACAAACAAAATAATTCTTTTCGTTGAAATTGAATTTCTTATTTTTACAAATTTCTTCGTTAAAAATTCTTTCAATTTTTTTATTTATTCGTTAATTTCTTTCTTCCATTTTTGATTTTTCTGGTTCTTAAATTTCTTTCTTTTTGAATTTTGCAATTTCACTTTAATTAATTTTGTTTATGAAAAGAGAAAAACAGTTAATTTAGTTGTGTAATTTAGCTGTGTAAATTTTGTAATGTAATTATGTGATTTTAAATTTTTTCAATTGTTTCTTTTCTTTTTTTGAAATTAATTAATTTGAAATTTCATCGGCTATTATTTTTCATTAGTAAAATTGTCATTCTTTTTACCATTAACATGAATTACCATTAACATTTGAAAATTACCATCAACATTTGTCAACAATAATAGCACGTTCAATTAACAAGTTTTGGTATCTTATCAAAAAATGAAATGGAAAAATTATTTTTAATCTTAGAGAGACGAAAAATCGATCGAATTAAAAGCTAAAAATAGCGAGCTACACAAATATTTTATTGAAATGAATAAATTTAAATAAATATAAAAGAAATTAAAAAGTTACACTTATCAATTTCTAACAGTGAAATGAAATGATTTCACTAACATCTATTTCAATCGAATTAAAAATTGCTAATTCGATTATAATTTCTGATTTCATCAAATTGGTAATGAATAATATACAAAATTTAGGCTCACACTTTGTTTTATTTTGTAATGTAATGTTATGATAAAATGATTTCACTAACATCTATATGAAATTAAAAATTGCTAATTCGATTAAAATTATAGGTTCATCAAATTGGAAATGAATAATATGCAAAATTTTGGCTCACATTTTCATTATTTGTTGCTTTGTTATGATATGATAATATAAATAAAATCTTTGTTGAATTAAATACAAACTAATTAATCAAAACGATAATATATAAATATAAATGAAAGAAGTTGAAAGTTTTATGCAATAATAAAAAATTATAAGAAATAAAAAATATAAATAATTAATTTAAATCGATGAAAATGAAAAATATTGCCGATAATGTAAAAATTATTTGGTAAAAATATTAGTAATTAATTCCAAAAAAAAGAGAAAAATTTGAATTCGTTCTCTCAAAATTATTATTTCTCCTCCAAATATTAAATCTATTTTGGTTATATATCTTAATTACAGTTAACATTTAAATTTAAACTAGAAAAAGAATAATCAAAGTAATTCAACAGCATTTGAAGTTGTAAATTTAATATTCAGAAATTCCAAAATTGTTTGAATTCATTTCTATCAATATAATTTATATGAAAATATTAAACTTATAGTGCGACAAATTAAATTTCAACTACGAAAAGAATAATGGAAGAAATTCGATAGCATTAGAAGTCGTAAGTTTAATATTCAGAAATTCCGAGTTTTTTTGAATTCATTTCTATGAATATAATTTATATGAAAATATTAAACTTATAGTACGACAAATTTCAATAAAAAAATGTTATATGAAAATTTCATTACTAAAATTACTTTAAATGAAACAAAATTTACATTTTCTTATAAATAATTTTTTGAATTTTGTAAAATTTTTCATAAAATTTGTTTTAATATTTCAATTTAAAATGCTTACTTTAATTTAAATTAAAAATTTAAAATTTTAATAATACAAAAGTAAAAATTTAATATGCGAAATTATTTAGAAATATGATTATCAAATTAGAAATATGATTATAGAAATATGATTATGATTATCAAATCAAATTGTTTTTCTTAATTTTTAATATTTTTAATTATAATAAAAATTCTTTGAAGTTAAAAAATTCAAAAAATTTATCGGTAAAGTTTGATAAAATTTTAAAATTAAATATAATTTACCAATTAATTTTGTCTTTAAATTATTGAATTGTTTGTTAATTTTATTTAGTGAAATAATTTTATCACATAGGAACGGTTGTTGTTAATTTAATCCAAAGAAAATGTATTATATTGAAGAGGAACAAGTGATAGAACAATGGGTTTATTACTTCATATTTTGTCCAATTAATTAATTAGACATAAAATTAATTACTATATATCAATGGTTAAATGTTCAAAATATTTTTGCAAATTAAATTTATTACTAAATTTTCTCTCCTCTGTTAATTTATGTTTTCATTTTTGCTTAGCATAAACATACGCCATATTATTTTTGTAGGAATAATTAGTTTTCATCTTTTATACAAACAATTTCAATTTAGCCTATAAAAAATTATTTAATTCCGAAAATATCTTCTAAATATGTTTTGTCTACAATTGAACACTTTAATTCGCTTCAAAAAAATTTGCATTTTCTAACTTTTATAAATTAATCTTTTTTTCTTCTTTTGTTTTAGATAATACAAATACCACTTACATTTATACTTTTGGAAATTATTGCAATTTGCATCGTACGTTGTATTTTGGCATTTTTAACAATAAGAAAATATAAGCGTAAACGATTTTATTATCATCAAGCGCTTATTATGGATAGTTCATATTTTGCTGGTGCACCATCATATGTTGACAAATATCTGGTATTTAGTAATTTTTTAAATGAAAAAAGAAATTTAAAATAATTTTAATAAATCCACAAAAATGCATTTGAGTTGAAATTTAGCAAATTGTAAAAATAATTGATAATGCTATTAATAATTGCGGCAATAATAGTGTTAATAACAATGATAATGATAAGGTTCAAATGAAATAAATGTTACCTGTAATGCAATTCCTATTATTTCATTCATTAATTTATTGCATTAGCAAATACATTTGTCAATCAGCAAAAATTTTTTTATTAAATATTTCCTAATCAAATGAAAATTGTAATTAACAAAATTTTAATGAATAATGAATTTAATTTAAAGAAATTTTTTAGAAATTGTTTTTTGTGTGATAATATATTTTAGTATTTGAGGATATATTATTTCTCGGGTAATATATCGTCAAATTTACATATACATATTCTTTTTCGAATATATTTTCAATTAAGAAGAAAGTCTTCTTCTATTTTCATTTTTCAGGAAGATTCAGTAGAGAAAGAGAATGCAATTCGGAAAGCAGCTATAAGTACTCCTGTACCGGAAAAATTAAATAAAGATAGTAAAAATATTACAACTGATAACAAAGTTTCAATTGTAAAAGCAGCAACAGCAATGATGAAAGCGACAAATGCAAAAAAACAAAACAAATTTTAACAATTAAATTAATTATAATAAATTGAATTTGGCAGTATGTATGTAATGAGTAATTAAAAAATGCTTCTTAATGAGTGAATAGTGATTTTAAAAAGATGAAATAATTTATTTTTAATGAATTAAAAATTTATATATTTCTTCTCCAATGCTACATTATAATTTTTGTTTTAATTTAAATTGCAATTTTATTCCATTTATAATTTTTGCTTTATCAGTACTACGTTTCTAATCTCTTTCTTTTATCAGTACTATCAGTATCATGATTAGATAAATGTATTAAATGCAATGTGAATAATAATTTTTAAAAATTGAATCATAGGAAAAAGTTTCAAATTTATACTTTGTTTATGATTAAGGAATAATTCTGTACTGTAAACAAGGAAAATTTCACAAATTAAATAATAATTTAATGCTTAGAAGGCAATTAATTAATGGTTTTAAAATTTTAAATTATTTATTTAAATAAAGAAAATTTCACTATCATAGCATTTTTGATCAAATGCTTTGCAAATGCAATAATTTCTTCGTTTTAAATTTCCTGCAAAAATTCCAAACTGCAATATTGATATTATTAAAAGGTTAATAACATAATAAATAATACATTAACATAGCAGACTGGTATTCATGATGATAAAATGTTATCAAATTTACATATTATCACTATTATTAATGAAATGCAGTAAAATCACAAAAATTCCTTCAAAGGCTTATTAAAATGTGATAAATATCACCGGAAGCTATCACTAATCAATGCATACTATGACTTATGACCATTAACTTTATCAATTAAAAAAGAAGAAAAATTCAAGTTTTATAATTGCTGAAAATTTTTGATATTAAAATTTCATTTACAAATTTAAATAATTGATGGTCAAATGTCATTTGAGCAAATGAATAAACTGAGGTGCAATCTATGTGATATGCATGTTTTATAAAATTTTCAGATCATTAAGTGAAATATATTTTAAATATATAAATAATATTAATAAAACAGAACAAGCAGTTATCAATAATCAATAAGGCACACATTTTAATTAATAATCTATAGAAAGAAAACAATTTTTTCTAAATTAATTATTTAGCAAAAGGTCAAAATTATAATATTAACCTTTTTGAAGTTAATCAAAATTAATGTTAACAGAAATCAAATTTATTTAAATGCAAATTTTATTTTCTTGGTGGTTTACTTAATGATATTGTACATCGTACTAATGGAATAATGCATTTTGTACATATTAGTACGGTAGCTAAAATGCTTACAATAATAAGCGCTATCTCTAAGGCACATGTAACCGCTTCAGTTGTTGAATTTAAACCATCAAGCCATTGACGTGGATCAAGTTTAAGTAGGAAATTTTCGATACCACGCTCATTACATCCTGGACAATTAGCAATTCCTGCTTGCCAACGATGTGCAATATGTCGTTCACGTAATGGTGATGCTTCATATCTAAATTATATCATTTAAACAAATTCAATTTGATTTGAAATTATAAACTAAAAATTAACAATGCATGAAGTATGTAACTTTTTGAGAACTTAATTACTGAATATGTATTTATGATAATAAAACAAAAAACAAAAAAAAATTGAAATATATTTTTTAGCTTACAAAATACTAGAAATTCATTAAAATTATTTTAATGTAAATTTTAAAATTAAACTTTATTTTTAATTTAATTATAATTTGAAGTTTATATCTCTTTCTTATTTTTTAAAACTTACTTTAACCATTTACATTGCTCAGCATTTGCATCACCAGCTGGTTGTAAGCATACATAACGATCCGAAATTATTCCTGTTGGAATTCCACCAATTGTTGCAGTAAATTTTGTCCTTGTTGCTGTACCAATTTCTATACTAAAGCTCCAATCGGTACTTGATTTATCTTCCGATCGATGTACATAGCCAATTAAAGTTCCTTTACCACCCTATAATAAAAAAATAAATAAAATTTGTTCATTTTTTTTGAAACCATAATTTTTGAATTCTTTTCTCCTAAAATAACGCATGATGATATTATCATTTAAGGCTTCGGCAAATACTATTTCAATTTTAGCTGTAAATAAGAAATCGAACAATGAAATATGTAGCAAAATATTTTTATAATATAATTCAATGATAAATGAAAATTAAAAAATAAACTAAGCAGGAATTAGTAATGAATTAAAACAATGATATAATTAGAATAAATGGTGTCAATTTGCTGAGAGAAATTCATTATTGCATTTCTTATTACTTATCACAATATTATGGTTATGTTATTTCATTAATGCAAAATCTTACTAATATAGTAAGATTGAGAAAACGATTTGATTGTTCATCCATACGAATTGTTCCATTGAATGTTAACAAATGTGAAGCATGTCGTAGAATAATAGGCCTTAAAAAGGAATTATTGAACGGTTAGCTTTAATAGAATTAGTTAATATGTTTATGTTTACATTAAAAGACGAATAATTCTTCATTTATATCGATTATAATAAATAATTAAGAAATATAAAGTGGCATTTTAAATATTTTAATTTATTTAGAAATTTGAATAATTTGCAGTTTGCATGCAAGCTATTTGTGAGTGATAAAGCAAGTTCAATTAAAATAAATTATATATGTATATTGCAATAACATTTACTAATAGTATATTGTTAGGAAATTTTGCTTTAATAATAATCAAATTTTTGTAAATAAAACTTCTAATTTAACCTAAATTTTTACCTGGTACCACTGCTAACACTAATATGTATTACGGTGCCTTCAGCATGAATAATTCGCACTGCTCGATCATCATTTAAAATTTCTGCTCGCTCAATCCAATTTTGTTCATTAATTGGATAGCCAAGATCAAGATCAATTAAGCGATCACCATAAATTACAAAATATTCCGCATTATATCGAGTTAAATAGCGCTGTCCTTTGCAATTTTCGATTGTTATATGCTATAAATAATGGTAAGATAATATAAAATTTACATTAATTCGTATAAAACTTATTTTTATCAGCTTTAATTTAATTAAGAGAAAGACGAAAAATTTTAAACAATCTTGTACTGAATTATTTTTTATTTTATTTTCTTTTGATAAAACAAATTAATTTACTACATCTGAAAATCAATATGTTGTGTGAAATAGAATTTATAATTTAACCTAAATTTAACCTGAGAATCAGTAATTTTTATAATTCCATTACGTATCAACCATGAATTGTCCTTTTTTCGTAACCAACCCAACTTATGAATGTCACTTTCCGTAGGTTCATTTAATCGTACACCCATCATTAATACTCGATGATCATTTGAAAAATAATACATTCCGTTTGGCATTTCACGAATTACACGACCTGTTGTTACTCGTATTTCCATCTTCAAAATTATTTCAAAAAATTTTTAATTATATTGAAATGATTTAAGATTTTTACCAATGTGGGAAAGTACTTAAAGTATCAAAATATTTTTATTAAGTTTTGCTTTCCTTCGGTATATTATTACTCAATATGACATTTTCAAATTTCAATTTCATTAACCGAAGTACTATTTGATGAGTAATTGAATTAAACCTGTCTCTTATCAATTGTTTCCATTTTAGCGGAACCTTTATTAACAACTGCTTCAAATTCTTCAGAAGCTGCTTCAGTCCATGAACGATTTGATATTCGTTCATAAATGCGATGCCGCAAAATGATTATAGTATCCGGTTGTGTTAGTTTTACAGCTGTATAAATTTTTCCCTGTAATGATAGAAAGCTAAATATATATGTCAGAAATCAAAACACATAAATTATAAAAATAAGGCATAGTTAATTAGTTAGAGCGGAATTGATTTCGAAAGATTAAATTTTTATCAAAATTCATTTTTCTTTATTCTTAAAGAGTAAATATTTGAAGAAAAAGTATGTTAAAATCAAATTAAACAAGCAAAGTTAATAAAAAAATAATTTATGAATAAAAATATTCAGATAAATATAATATTTTGATATATACTTATCAAATAAGTCAAAAGAGTTACAAGTATTATATATAAGTTAATCAGAATCATAAAATTGATATATGCCATTGAATAAGTGTAAACATATTTATTTAAGAAATACAATTATAATAGATAGATATATGTTAGTGAAATAAGTTTAAACATATTTTTTATGTAATACAATTAAAATAATTGAACAAACCAAGGCAAATAAATGATATTAAATAGATTTAAATACATATATATGAATAAAATATAATTATATATGCAAAAGTAAATAATTATGTATATAAAAAAATGGAACAATTAAAAAGTAAATATAATAAAAAATGGAAAAATGATTTGTGTGAAAATGAAGCGATACCTCATATGGTTCGATTTCTACTTCACAACAAACTTCACTTTTGGATGACATTAAACAACCGCTACTTGATTGATGCGCATGATAAGTTCGATAGCAAACAGAACTCTTCGTGCAATTCCTATTTTTGCAATACTTTTTTAACTTGCTTTTTAGAATATCAAATTCAATTAATTTTAATTAACCAAAATGGCATTCAATTCAATTCATTTAGAAAAGTAACGTTCGCTTTTCAAAATATATGTTATCTTAAATTGAAATGAATTATCAACTCTGTTAATTGTTTGATTTAAATTACTGAAACTTAAATGCACTTTATAAATTAAATTAACGAATAAAATTTAGCAATTTTAAATATCGATTAGAAGGATATATAATTTTAATCGTCAAAATTAACTTTTTTTTAAAAAAGAAAAAGAGATTATTTTATATTACTTATATTTATAATCATCCACACTACAATATTGTTCGGCACCAGCGCAATCACAAATGCATGTTGTTTTAATTAGTGGAATTCCAAATTTATAAAATGCGGATATCGGGAATTGCTGTTCCATTCGAACGTATTCAATGGTATGAATTTGTGTTTTCGTCCCATCCTATATTATTATTATTAATATTATTATTGTTATTTTTATTATTATTAATATTATTATTATTATTATTATTATTATTATTATTATTAATATCTACAAAAATTAGAAAAAATGATTCTTTGAATTGATAAACGATTAAAATACAAATTTTAATTTTCTTTCATTTCTTTTGTCTTCTTTTATACGAAGAAATAACACTTATCATAGTTTTTTATACCGAGAAATTAAGGCATAATGTTTCTTTAAGTGTTAAATCAGCAACGGTTGTACTGATTTCTCGAATCCGTTTTCCGGAATCATCCATATTTGCAACATTGCCTTGAATTGGTGTTATCCGAGTGCAATGCACTTCGGTTGTTAATGTACCGCAAATTATATGCTTCCATAGAAGTGTTAATAACCTAAAATTCGGTAATGGCATAATTTGCTTCGTTTTGATTTATTTTCCTTTTTCAGTAAACAAAAAGAAAAGAAGACAAAATATGAAATTAATTATGATTTATTAAAATTAAGCATTAAATGAAATTTCTTCTTGAAAAATTCAAAGACAATCAACCAAAAAATAAATCTGAATAAACTTTAAAGCAATGAATTTGCTTTAATAAAAAAATAACCTTTGCATTATTTATTTTATAAATTTAATTAAATTGTTAATTTCAAAGAAAAAAACAAAAGAAATGTGCGTTTTTTTCTCAAACTTAATTTTTCAAAATACTTTAATGCTAATATCTAACATTTTTTAACACTTCCAGCTATTTTATCTGTAATCTAATCTAATTCATGACCTAAGGTATGATAATTTAATGATTAAAATTCTGGACAAGAAATGAATGAAGTTGATTCTCCCCATTTATGCAATCATTTTATATTCCAATTATAGTTATACTTACTTGAAAGTAAGTATTGCAATAAGAAGTTTACAGAAGTTTGAATATGAAAGTGGACATTGGAATGACCTGCTAAGTGTACTTTCACTTACAAAATACGAAAATTTATTTTGATTGTGGACATTCTGAAGGGTTCTTAGCGGTCACTGAGCTGTCCTTGTAGACTGCGAATCTTAAGTGTATCCGAATTGATGATAACTCTCTCAATTTGTCGCACAATACATTAATACCACAAGCTGTTGTTGCATCATCATTGACCAAAACTGGTCATTCGTTGATATATCATACGTAATAGATACTAAAATAATTGAGTACCATTTGAATTGAAATTAAATTATTTGAAATAGAACATTTTTGAAAACATCACGAATCATTTCTGCATAATAACTATAAAGTTTTACAATAATTTTACATTTCCAATTCATTAAATTCGATACTTATATTCTGATTTATTAAGTTTGATACGTTAAACAATACATTATGTTTAATCAATTAAGCATTTATAAATAAATAATTTTTAACAGAATTTTTTACTTGTCTAAACTATAATTTTCAGATTGTGAAGAGAGTAAAGATGAATTTCAATTAGTATTTATTACTAAATTAAAACATTCTTACCTTATTTATCGATAGATTAAAATGAACAAAAGAACAAATGTACACATATACACAGAAGTTAATCAAATAGGAAAGTTTTTGGAAAGGTAAAAAATTTAAATAAATAAATAAATAAAATAAAATTTCGATATATTTGTTAGATTATAGGATCAGTAAAGAGTTCAACGATAAAATGAATGCGAAACGAAACCAGTAGCAAGGATTATCGTTAAGATTTAAGAATAATGAAATTAAAAGAAGTAGAAGAAAATGGTAAAAGAACAAAGCGAAATTAAAATTAAAGTTATTATTCTTTAATTAAAATTAATTTAATTGTTGACAAAAATTGATGAATTACTAAAATAATACTAAATTATTAATGATAATAATTGTTAATGTTGATAAATGCTAAAGGTATTATCAATAAAGTTAAAGTTTATACAAAACTATTATAAGTAACCGATTTAAACGAACGAATTAAATATAAAATGTCAGTTCAATAAATTTCAAACTCTCTAAAAAAAGTGGGGCATTTTTTTTAAATAAATACATGGGAAAAAATCTTTTCATTTTAAATATTAATTTAGTTCTTATATTAATTAATGCTCATATTGTACTAATACTTATTTCCGTGCTGTATTTTATTGCTAATAATTTTTCTACCTCCAATTAATCGTAATAATTGTATGAATAATTCATATTGATATATTTGAAATGATAAAATTATTATTATTCGATAATTAATTTAATTTTTTTGATTACTGTTTGAAAAATGAATACTTTGAAATAAAACTTATTAACTAAATATTAATATAAAATATATTTTATAAGCTAATTGTAAACAACGAAATAAAAGAATTTGAAATGGATGAAATTTTTTAAATAACCTATTAACTAAATTGTTTTACAATAGATAAATTAAATTTGTGAAAAAATTTTTTTAGCTGAAAGGAAATTTATAGTTACAGAAACTATTAAGAACGATTAATATTGTAATGATAAATAAACTCATTAAACATGTTTATACCTCAAATAGAAAGTATAACAATTTTAGGATATATGCAAATTACATTTCATTTTTTATTTAAACAAATATAATAATGAAAAAAAGTGATATTATCTAATCTTAAACGATAAGTCGTAATTTCAATTTTTTTAACTAATTGAAAAAAGAATATTTATTGCTTTAGTCTTTTAATTTAATCTCATTACTAAATGAATACTAAAACTGACAATCTGTTTTTTTCGTTATATTTGATAGATATTTTTAAAATCGAAGTTGAAAAAAGCAAATTGAAGCGATAAATTTATGATATAAAATAAAGGAATAATAATTGAAAGATAATATTTATTCCTTTAGTCCTTTAATATTCAAAATTTTATCAGTTCAATTACCCATCTAATTTTATTCGTTAATTGTTAATTACATATTGCAGTGATTACAACATAACACTTGATGTTGATGGAAATAAATTTTTAATTATTGATAATTCAAATGAAATGGCTAGTTGTTTGAAACTTCTACTTTACAAAAGTGCATTAAAATTTAAATTGATCAATTTATATTTGTATAAATATTTATTGAACTCAATGATCATGTATAACTATTAATATGAAATTATGAAGTTTATCATAAATCATAACATTTACACTGAAACATTAACAGTGTTATATACCATAAAATAATAAATTGGAGATGATAGCGATAATAAATTTATTCAGTGAAATTTTCATGATCCTCTGGATTTTTTCTTATATTTATTAGCATAATTAGCAATTTTAGTCATAAGTTATTTCGAAAGCATATCTTTTATTTTTTTTTAATGTTAAAACGAATTTCAAAAATGAAAATTGTAACATTTAATTAAAATATTTTGGGATATCAAAATTATAATATTAGTAGAAAGAATTCACAAGAATTCTAAAAGAATGAAGTACAAGAATGGTCTGATAATATCAAATTGTGCATCTAAGACAAAACAGGATTAGACATCTTTATCAACATCTAATATAGTAGAAGTAGAAAATATTGACCAATTGGCATAAAAAGGATTAGCATGACCTGAAGGTCAGTTCAGCAATGATTAATTTATCATATGCAACAAAAATATTGTATTAGTTTTAATGTCTGGAAATAATTTCAATTGAATAAATGCAAGAGCAATAAATATAAATAATAATGGGGCTAATATGTGTAAGTAATGATTAACAATTAAATTGGTAATTTAATTAAAAAAATAATTAGGTAAACTTAGATGAATCTTAAACTTATCAAGCCATTTCAATGGAAAAATAAAAATAAAGAAATTGATAATAAATGCAAAATATAACATATGGAAATTTCACATCTGTTAGTATGCGTACGATTTTTACGATATTTTTGGTTGCCTTAATTACAGTATTTAAATGAAAAAAATATCTATCGTTAATTTTCATAAAAAAAATACAAAAATATATTTATTAATGATTTATACGTATTACATACTTATCGGAACTTATTAAGTAATGTATTAATTAATGAATTATGCGTTAAATTTTGATTTATTTCTTTTCTATGCTTAATTAAAAATACAATTTTAATTATCCTTAATATTTCATTTCCTTAAAATGCAACTCTTTCTTAAATTATCCTTAATATATCTTTATTTTTATCGTTAATTTTTTTTTCATTTAATAATTATGAAATTTGTAAAAATTACTACAGTTTTAGGATATCGTGAAATTTGTTGAAATGAATAGAAACTAAAAGCTGAATTTTGATTACTGAAAATTTCTTTAAATAAGCGCTAGCTTTGATAGAGTTTGAAATACTTTTTATCCATTGAGATTTATAAAATTTCATCGAATTCTCTTTTTCTCTCAACTTTACAATTTTTTCCGTTTAACAGCAAAAATTTTTCGTCCAAATATGGAAAGAAAAAACATTGAGGATTTTTTGCTAAAAAATAAACTTTGTAACTTTTGTTAAAATACTTTGGCTTAATCATGATAACATCATTGTAACACAATGATAAAGTGATTTAATATTCACCCCAATTATGCAAATGAACAATATTAAAATCCATTTTCATCTTATAAAAATCAGTATAATCATAATCAAAGTTATATAAATATACAAATTAGTAATATTAAAATTCATTTCACATTTTTTGAAATTATCAACTAAAACAATTTTGTGCAACAATTGCATGAAAAAATGATTAATTAATTGATGACATAATTTTTTAGCATAAAAACTCAATTCGTTTTAGAATAAAGTTTTAAAAAAAGTTGTAAATATTTTCATGCTTATCTAAATGATAAAAATGCACGACTAAATAAATTTCTCAACCAATCAGTAATTATTAAAAGTTTGAAATGTTTTCCTCTAAACTGAGTGAAATTACAAATTGCAAATATAAATGGTCCAATCATTACAGTTTATTTCGATATTGGTACAAACAATTAGCCAATGCATTTTGCGCGAAAGTTAATAATGTCCGGTCAACTCCACCTCTTCATAAAATATCCGGTTCGCACAATTTATTCATTCCTCAAAACCTAAACGTCCGTTTAATTCCATTCCAATCGCAATATTATAATAAATAACTGAGAATAGTTTTTTCATCTTCTCATTGCTTCGTTTCAGAATGATTGACTGACTTGAAATTATTCAGACAAAAAAACGATTTCGTAAATTATTTTTTGAGAATAAGTGAATAATAATGTTGAAAACTGAATCATCAAGATATCACTTATTTGAAATCATTAACTATTAAAACTATCATTTTCTTTATCAATATCATTTATCAAATATCAGAATATATTAAAAATTTTCTGCTAACCGGAAACGTAATAACGTTTCATGATCACGTTTATTGTTAAAAAAAGAAAGGAAAATTGTTATTATTATGAAAACATTGCCAAAACGTATGCAACGTTAAACAATAAACAATAT